CATACATAGGCACATACATCTACCCATTCATCCATCCATCCAACCAACCATCCATCCATGCCCCCATTTGTACTCCCTGTCCACATCAATCCACCCACCACCTTCCATTTATTTCTTCACCCACCTACCCACGGATCCATCATCCACCATTCATCTGCCTACCTTCCATCCATCATCAACCATCCATCCATCTATCTATCTTTACTCCCTCTATCCATCATCTACTTAGCAGCTAGCAATCTAGGGCACGGTTCCATCAGAGTCTTGGTGGAGAGGGAGAAGAAAGCAAGATGCCCTTCTGACCTAGCGCCCACCCTCCAAAGCAGGGGGCGGCCCTTGTAGGTGAAGCTCTGCTGGCACACAGCCCGTCTCTGGACGAGGGCAGCATGGAGTGTTGCAACAGTGACCAGCTGGGTCTTTCTTAAAACCCTGTGGCAGCCGTTTGGTTGGAGGAAGTAGAAAATCAACCAGCAATGACCCAAACACAAGGTGACGGCACCGGCCACTCATTGGGAGGTCGAGGAGGGTCGCTCTGAGAAGGGGTGGTGAAACTTGAAGAGGGCTAGGCAAGAAGGGACGGCATGTGACAAGGCTGTGACATGGGGTGAGCTTGCATTCAAGCGACAGCAAGGGTGCTGAGCAGGCAGGGGGAAAGGGCCCGTGGGCCATGGGGTGGTCAGATTTTACCCCAGATGTGACAGGAAACTCATTCATTCACTCAACTTATTCAACAAAGCCTCGGTGCTTCCATGGGGAAAGCCACACCCCTGAAGGATCTTTGACCCTGGCCTCAGGAGGTGTTTGCATGAACCTAGGGGAGCCCTCTGAATCCTCTTGTCCCCCAGAACTTCCAGGAGGGTCCAATCTAACCCCAGGGTCACTCAACGACTGGGACAGGGATGGGAGACAGAACCCAGGCTTCCAGAAGGGACTGCTGCCTCCTCTCAACTCCCACCATCCCCACCGTGACCACCACCTCCTCCATCTTCATCTCCATTGCCCCCCACCCCTGCACCCCCTTCTCCCAAGCTTGACCCCCAACTCCTGTTATCATCCTTTGTCTCCCAGCCCCAGGTTTGGGTGGGCCCCCTTGGAGTGGGGAGGGGGAGGGATGTGAAAGGGGCTTGGGGATCTGGGTGAAGGAACGTGGGGTGGGGTTGGGTGGGGGTGTCCCTGCTTCTCTTGCCTCCATCCATTGAACTCAAATAATGGTGGGAGCTGATGGGGCTGACTGAGTCCATTGTCCCCCATGTCCCCATCCTTTCCTGTCCTGCGCCCCCACCCCCATCTGCCTCCCCTCCCCACTTCCACTCTTTCTTTCTTGCCCAGATCCCCATCTGCGTCCTGGCCGGTCTCCCCACTCCCACCCTCTCCTTAGTCTTCCTCCACCGAAGCCCACCTCTGAACTTGCATCCCTGCCCTCCCTAGCCCTCCCCCTCCCCCTTTCCCCCCCACTCAGCCATCCCGGAAGCTCCTCCCATATTTGGTGGTTTTGGCCGCCCCGCCCCATTTCACTGCTCCCCTCTCCCTGGAAAACACGAGTGAGGAGGACGAAGAGTTCCAGGAGTTTCTGTCCCCACCCCCAATAGTGAAACTGTTTGGGGGGGTGCCTCTTAACCCCCTTCCCTCCCGCCGTGACTCTGTGTATTTCTGTCCCCAGCTCTTGTCACCGCCTGAGACCTCGCGAGACCCTCGGTTCCCCCCCTGCCCCTCCCCCCCAGGTTAGCAACTGGGAATGGTTGGGAGGGGTGTCCCCAGGATCCTGGGCTTGGAGTTCCACCAGGCTCTCTCTGGAGGCAGGGGAAGGGGGGGCAGGGGGCACAAGACACATAGTACTGCCCAGGGAAGTCATAGGACTCACCCAAACCCTTGGGACTCCTGGGACCCTCCCAGGGCTTCAAGCACCCGCCCAATCTATGGAGACACGGTTCCAGCCTGCAAAGTCTCTGTTCGAACCCCCAGACCTTCCTGGACCTTTTAAGATCGCCTCCTGAGCCTTCCGGAGAAGTTCTGTCCCTTCTCCGCCTGCCACCCCCACCCCCCACGTCCATAACGGTCCCAAGGCCACTGCCAGCCAGCTTCCTTCAGACGCTGCCACCCACCTTCCCTTGCCGCCATGCCACCAGGTAGTCCAGAGACCAGCCCCCAGCTGCTCACCCACGCCACATTCATTCCACCCAAGCCCCTCAGCACCCAGAGCTTCCTGCCCATGCGTCCAGCCATTCCGCCTTGCTGCCCCCACCCTTCTGCCTCAGATGAGGGGGCCGACGGGGGAGGTGGGCTGGGGCGGGGGGCTGGGGGGAGGCCCGGTGGGTGCCATCTTGCCTCCTAACCCGGAGTCTCTCCCCCTCCCCGGTGTCTTAACCTTTCTTGTTGATGCTGACTGATTCTCCGATTTGTCCACTTCTCTCTGTCTCTCCGTCTCCTTGTTCTGCCCGTCTGTCTCACCTGCTCGCCCCCACTCTTCTCCTGTCTTCCCTCTACTTTTCTCTCTCTCTCTCTCTCTCTCTCTCTCTCTCTCTCTCTCTCTCTCTCTCTCTCTCTCTCTCTCTCTCTCTCTCTCTCTCTCTCTCTCGCTCTGTCTTTTCTATTCCTGCTCCTGTCTCCTCTTCTCTTGCCTGTCTCTCTCTGTTTGGGGGGTGGGGGTGTCTCTCCCTGTCTGTCGGGCCCTCCTCCTGTACCCCTTCTTCCACGCTTCCTCCCTGTGTTTCTGCCTCCCCTACCCCCCAGGTTATGAGAAATCCCGCAGCCTGAGCAGCATCGCGGGCCTGAGCGGGGTGTCCCTGCGCCTTGCGCCCCTTGCCACGCCCCCTGGCTCTCCAAGGGCTACCCGCCGTGCCCCCCCTACCCTGCCCTCCATCCTCTAGAGCTCCCCTCCCCCCTGTGGGGGGACTCGGGGGTGACCAGGAAGAAGGTCAAAGGAGCTGGGGGCGGGGAGTGGGGGAAAAGGGTTTTTTTACAAAACAAAAAGTCATTAATAATATGCAACTGAGATGGCACCGCCAGCAGACACCCCCGGGCCCCTCACCTCCCACCTGGGTCCCCAGGATGGAGTGAGGGGGCCAGAGCCTGTTCCCACCCACCCCTCACCCCCTAAAACAAAGCCTTCTCAGGTCTCCAGGAGCCATAGGACACACACACACATCCCTCCCATCAATTCGTGTAAATATGTTCAGATGATGCCAATTACATCTTGGGGCACCTCTTCCTACCCACCCCACCCCAACTCTGCATGCCTCCCTCAGCAGGGACCCTCCCACCACAGCAATAAGCCGCCAGGGGCTGCATGCCACACAAGGTGGGTGGGTCCTGGGAAGGGGCTGAGACTGCCCATCTTTCCAGCCTGGTGGTCAGCCTAGCAGTGGTTGATGATTCTGTAGGGGCAGGAGGCTCAGGGTAGGTCCTGGGTCTTTGCGGGTGGGGGAGTCCCTCAGATGAGCGTCACCTCCCTCATCCCCACCCCTGGCCCAAGGAATCTGTTCTTTCTTGCTGCATGGACTCAAGACCTCTGCACCCGAGAACTCCTGGGGGGAATTGGCCCTAGCACACAAGATCCTCCACGCCTTTCCCCCACCCCACCCCCAGATTCCTAGGACATGAGACCTGCACTTAAGAATTTTGAGTCTCGGCCATGGCACCCTGCAGCCCCACCATCTGCACACAAGGTACCCCTCCCCCAGTGCCCCTCCAACTTGCAGACTTGCCCCAGCCCTGCAGTCATCTTCAGCTTTGGGGGACGCCTCCTCCCCCCCCCTCCACCCCCGCCGGACATTTCCTGGACACTACTCCCAGACCCTCAGCCCCGCGTAACGCCCACCCTCCCACCTCAGGTTCCACTAACGCCAAACGCCCAAGATGGGGCAGCCAATCTGCAAATTCCAGGGAGCCAGATTCTCCAAAGGGCACCCCCTTTCTCGTGCCCCCAACCCCAAGATCCACTTCCCTAGAACAGTGCCCAAGCAACCCTCCGACAGGACGGGCATCCGTGTCCGTGTGTCTCGCAGGGGGTTGTGGCGCATCCCTGCTTAGGTTTGAAGCACGCATTTATTTTTTAAAAGTGCGTTTTTGCACAGAAACCAGGAAAGGCCAGGCTGGGCGCAGCGGTTTTTAGGTTAGAAGAGTTGTCCGCGGAAGGGGGTCCTGCTCCCGTGGGCTTCCAGGTGGCTCCGGGGAACTTCAGGATGCAGGGAGCTGAGAGGCTGGTGGCCGCCCCACCAGGCTGACCCCTTGCCCCCAGGCCTTCCCCCTCCCACCCAGGCTCAATGACACACACCCTTCCCAAGCCCAGAGACCTGTGGGTCCCAGTCCCAGAATCCTTAGCGAGCCCTCCTTTCGGAGGCAAGGTGGGGCCCATCGAATTCGCAGCCTCCTGCTCCCCCGGCCTCAGGAACCCCTAACCCCGGAGGGCTGGGGTTGTCGCTGAGCACGATTCTTAATGCAACCATTCCTATGCAAGGGGCATTTTTGAGCCCCCTCCCCATTTTTCTCCACCCCCCCCCCCGACCCTAAGCCCTGGTGAACAAGGGGTATGGGGTGGGAGCGGGGCAAAGGGCTAGGGGCACCAGGGTATGGGGGTGGGGGGACTGGTTCTGTTGCCAAAGGGTTCAACTACTTCAAAAACAAAAAACCCCAGACCCTCAGGAGAACCAGAGGGGGCGGGGAAAGGGGGGTGAAGGTGTTTTACAAAGGGTACTGACCTCTTCCCAAAGTCCCCCCAACCCGCCGCACACACCCAGCTTTTTAGTTCTGCTTTTGAAGAACCACCACCGCCATTATACGCTCTCCCGAAGGTGATTCACGCCCATCCCGCAAATCAGCAGTGTGGGATTCGGGGAGGGGGAGAGAGAGCGAACGAGCTACAGGGACAGACAGTCCCGCTTCCCTTTTCGCCCCCTCCGGCCGCCAGGGTGCCCACAACTACACGCATGCGCTGCATGACGCGCCCCCGCACGCATGGCACGCCCCTCCTGCGCTCCGGGAACGCACGGACACGGGGCAGGGGGCCGGGCGATTGGGGAGGAATGAAGAGTGGGGGGGGGGTGTCTTTCTGAACTCAGCGGCCCCCCTTCCCAACACACAGCAATAAGTCTCTCACTCAAATGTGGGCGGGGCAGGCCCTGGCCTGTCGTGGGGGGAGGGCTCTCAGGGACGGGGGCGGGGTCCGGGGTCAGTGAGGGCGGAGGGGGGGGGAAGGTCTGCAAATCGTCCAACTCTGGTGCTAAAGGCGGGTCTTCTCAGCCCACCCCCAGGGCAGGGAGGGAGGGGCCGTGCTGAGCCCTCCCCCAGGCCTTCCCCACGCCCACCCTGGGTGCATGAGCCGCCCAATGCAGAAGCTACAGCATGTCACCTCCCCTCCCCAAAGAAAAAAGTGTCATGCCCCTTCCCCTCCCGCCCTTTCACTCCCCACCAAAATAAACGTTTCCTTTTCATTTAAAAATGGCCTTCTGACTGCGGGGGAGGACTCCTGATGGGGCTGGGGGTGGACAGAGGTCAAGCCTTCCTTGGTATGGGGTCACCTTGGTTGATCCCCCTAACCCCTATTATTTGGGAACCAGTGCCTGCCTCGTTTGCCCTGGTGGTCAAGAGGCCGGAGATGTCTACTGGGCCTGAGACTGAGTCTTCCAGGGGAGAGCAGCTTGGCCCCAGGCTCAACCTGGAGACCCCAAAGGACTCCTCTCACTGTGTTCATCCCATCTGATCCAGTCAGAGACCCTCGGGTCCAGAAAACAGCTGCCCCACCGGGTTTCTTTCCCAGATTGAAGCCGACGTGGAAGCCGATGGTCAGGTCTTTCTCCAGCGAGCGGGGTGGGTTTTGAACCACCAACCCGTCAGTTAGCTGAGTGTTTAACCAGGTCACTGTCTCACTCATTGCCATCGAGTTGATTCTCAGAGACCCTACTGGGTAGAACTGCCCCGTGGGCTTGAGGCTGTTAACTTTTTAAGGGGAATAGACCTCTCTTGGTCTTTCTCCCTAGGAGCTGCTGGTGGTTTTGAACAGCTGACCTTGAGGTCAGCAGCCCAATGTGTCATCCACTACGTCAGCCACCAGGGCGCCTCACCAGGTCATTAATGACTTAATTTTGGCCACGCTGACTGGCCTCCCTGTGCCTCCGTCTCCACAGGTGAACAGATCTGCCTCACGCACTCTTGACCGTGGGGTTCAAACCTTGGTTTGTGGTGTTGGGAGATGCGTGTCCTTGGACGGGTCACACCGCTTCCCAGGGTCGCCTTCCACTGCTTTCAACTGGCGGCGAGGTGGGTGGGTGGTCTTATTCATGCAGCGAATGGTTACTTAATGCTGACCCCACCCATGGCCAGGCTCTGTTCTGGGCTCTGGCTTGGACACAGAAGAGATTCGGCAGCTGGCACCTCCTGCACGTAGTGCAGTGCGGGGCCTGGCATGCACAGCGTGCTCCACAAATGGGCAGGATCTCACTGACATGAACAGGGAGCCTTGGAACCAGGGACCTGGAACCAGGGCGGGCTTTTTCCTTGGGGGTGGGGTGGGGGGATGGGATAAAGTTGGCCATCTCTCTACACCTGTATCTCCAGCATGATGTGTCTTTTCCAGAACCTTGGATGAGTCTCCCAGTCGCCTTGTCTGTGTGAGCTTGATCTGTTTAGAAATCAGCAGTAAACTTTCCCAGCCAGCAGGGTTCCCAGACACAGCCCCTGCCCCCAACTCCCTTGCACCCCACCTGAGAGCCCCCTTGCAGAATAATCACAGCCACACAGGAGGGGCCAGCTGCGGGGGGTATTTATTCCAGCCAGAGCCTGAGGGAGGCTGGAAGGACTCCTAGCTTTGTCACGCAGAAAGATTGGGGTAGCGGCTCCAGGAAGGGGTGGGAGATGGAGGGGGATGGTGGTTTCTGACTCACAGAGGAAATGACCAAGTAGCAGTGTCCCCTTGGGTGTCCCTCGGGGGCAGACAGTTGGGGCTTTCTCCCTCCCTCGGAGCTTGAGCTTAGCAGCGCTAAGCCGTATAGACAGCCAGCCAGAGGCGACTGTCGGCCTGAGAGTCAATTCTGACTCAGCCACCCTGTAGGGTGGAGGAAGCTGCCCCCTCGGGTTTTCAAACCTCTAAGTCTCTGGGGACAGATCTTCCTGGCCTTGTTCTCACGGTGACCTGTGAGTGCATTCGAACTAACAGCTCTTTGTTCCAAACAAAGCAATGCTAGCAGTAAGCACGTTAGCAGCTAAGCACAGTGTCAGCCGGCTGGTGAGGGGGCAGGGAGCTCGTGGCACTGCTCCTAGTGCCCACTGTGAACAACTAGAGGAAGGCCGGCACCCAGATGTCCTCGGACCCGCTGGTCCCCAGTCCTTGCATCCCTGCCCGAGCCTGCTCCTCTGGCTTTGGGAGTCAGCTGACGAGGGTCTTAGGGACCCAGGATGGGGATCAGAAGAGCTGGTGTGCTGGAGCGGGGTACCTGCTCCCAAGTGCAAGAAGCCAGCGGGCTGGTCTGAAGACAGAGCACCTGGGAAGGAGCCAGGAGGGAGGTAAGGGCCCTGGGCCATCCAGTTAGCGTGGCTGGTGGGGTCACTGGGGTGGGGCCTGCACGGGCCCATCAGGTTCCTGGGGTGGGACCCCAGCCCCTGGCTCCGCCACCTCAGCCTCTTCATCGGAGGCCACGCCCTCCTCCAGGCGGAAGACCTGCCTCACGGTGCGGGTGGTGTAAGTGAGGGGTCCACGCCTGTGGGGAGGAGAAGAGACCAGAAGACAGATTAGATAGGTGTGGGGGCGCAGAGGCAGGCGGGAGTGAGGGGGGGCATGGGGGCGGAGGAGGAAGAACAAAATGGGAGAAGGTGAAAGAGGTGGGAAGAAAGAGAGGGAGGGAGGGAGGGACGAAGCTATCCACGCAGGGGCAGAGGCCTGGGGGAATCGAGGGGTGTGGGGACCAAGATGGGA